CGACCTACGGATGCGTTTTGGCGGGCGCCCAAGACAACGTTGTGAGCGCATTGACACCAGTCAACTGATGAAGCCAGCTGTTCTGAATGCCTATCAAAGTATGTTGACATGCGAGTTGAGTAAGCGCTCATTGGATAAAACTGAAACTCACTGGTCTCATGCTCACCAGATCTTAGTAGCAGCAGGCAAATACTCATGTGGTAAATCTAATCGCCAACATGGTCATTGGGTCTCTTCGCAGTCTCTGGAACTTATCGATGCTCGCCGGCACATTCCGGCTGGAAGCGAACACAATGAGACACGCAGAAAACTCCGGGCAAAACTCTGTGCTAGCCTGAAGAGAGACCGCAAATCCTGGTGGTCTCATCGTGCATCAGAGATGGAAATGGCCGCTGCCCTTGGTAGCCATCGTAAGTTATTCCGTCTGATACAGGAAACGGGCAGCAGGAAACCTGGTGTTAGTTAAACTATACGTGACGAGAGTGAACAGCTTATCAACAATTTGTCAAAACGCTTGGAGCGCTGGACTGAGCACTTTGATAGGGGATTTAATCGGTCGGAATTGTCAGATTGTAGGTGACCGCCCTCCTCCCTGGGCTATTCCTTTGGATCCGCCCTCTCGCTCAGAAGTCGAACGTGAGATCGAACAGTTAAAGTTAAATAAAGCCGCGGGACAAGATGATCTTCCTCCAGCCATTTTCAGATTCGGGAGATCTGCTCTTGTGGATGATTTATACGAGTTACTAGTGAAACTTTGGAAGTAGGAAACTGTCTAAACCGACTGGTGCCGCTCCGTCAGTCCCAATTTTCAAGGGAGGCTCACGATCGGAATGCGGCAGCCATAGAGGAATCAGACTGATCTCCATCGCCTACAAATTGCTTGCCTCTGTCACCGTTCAGAGATTGACTGGCACTCGTGAAAGTCATATTCGTGAAGAGCAAGCCGGGTTTCGTCGAAGTCGTGGCTGCACTGCCCACATCTTCATTTTGCGTCAGTTGTTGGAGCACCGCCACATATATTGGCGGCCCACCGTTGTCGTGTTCCTCGATATCAAAGGTGTATTCGATTCGGTGGATAGAAGTGCATTTTGGGACCGTCTACTCAGGAAAGGTGTACCTGAGAAATGTGTAAATATTATCCGTTTGCTAAACGCGCATAGCTCAGGCAGAGTGAGGGCTTACGGCAAGCTGTCATCGCCCTTTAATATCTCCAGCGGTGTGAGACAAGAATGCCCGCTGTCACCTTTCCGCTTGAACTTCGCTATTGATGAAGTCATGGAAATCGCGTTCACAGGACACGACTTAGAAAGTGTGTATCTGCTCCCAGGAGAACGACTTCTTGACTTGGAGTATGCTGACGATATTGCCTTCATCTGTGACAGCTCACAAACGTGCCAAGTTGCACTGGACAGATTAGCACTGGCTGTCCGTCACTTCGGGCTTTGCTTCGAAGTGCAAAGTGTTCCTCCAAGATTGGCCTGGAGCCCCTCCTACGCTGACCTTTGGGTGGGGGTCAGCTAGAAGACATTCAAATATTCAACTACGTGGGAAGTTGTATCAGCGTCCGTGGGATTGAAGATGAGATCACGAATCGTATAGCAAAAGTTCGAGGCGCTTTTGCTAATCTTCGGTACTTATGGCGCCGGCATGATATCACGCTCGTCCTGAAGGGTAGAGTGTACAATGCAGCGGTACGTTCGACCCTACTGTACGGTTGTGAAACCTGGCAAATTAGATCAGCGGACATAAAGAGACTAGTTACGTTTGAACACCGGTGCCTTCGGAATTTAGCTCACATCTGGTGGGAACACCGAGTTCGCAACGAGGGTGTTTGACGTCTTGTTTACGGTACAGAAAAAGGAACTGAACCGCTCAGCACCGTCATTTCACGCACCAGGTTCCGATGGCTGGGGCGTGTGTTACGCATGCCAGCCCACCAACTCCCGCGATGTGCGTTGTTTGCGCGCCGGGGGTGTGGATGGAAGAAGAGGAGGAGTGGCCAAGAGATAACTTAGTCGAGAGCAATGAAAGCGCTCACTTCGGACCTGGCCTCGGTTAAAGCGTCTCGGCTCCCTAGTTGGGGTCCGAAAGACGATGAATACGTTTGGCTGGATACACTTGCTGACATGGCTAGGAGTCGACCTCAATGGTGTTCGTGCTGTCAGTTTCTTTGTTCTACCCCATCTTTCTTAGCCTCGCCCTCCAACCACGATCTCACTAAATACTTATATAATTTTGCATAGCAAATATTTTTTGCTGCATATTAGCCGGCTGGTAGCTTACCGGAACGATGTGCATCCGTTACCGTTAGCTCAGCTGGCTTGCATCTATTTTATATTTTCCGTTTTTTTCTTTTATGTATTGCGGCACAGTAGCTGAGGTGCTTCCCACCTCCAGCTAACGTGTATAATAATAATAATAATAATACTGAAAAGGCACACATTCGGGTACATAAGGCATATACTAACTTGACAACGAAAGCGAAACAACAAGTCTGCGAGTTGTTGAGGATCAAATTGGCAAACACAACGGGAACAAGTATCCGATGGGGATGACTGAGAAGGAAGCTGAGAAGCGTGGTTTATATGGGACTTTCAGAAAGCTGGACGATACAACGGCGAATTGACTCGCACCACCATCCGAACTGTCTGGCAGGTAGCAGTGTTGGATCTCCAATCAGACTAACGGTGGCTAGCAGTCAGATAAAGCGACCAAGCGAAAATGATATTCACTGTTGGTAACAAACTGTATCGATTCATAAAGAAAGGCTAATCAAGTTAACCGCTATATCAATCACATTCTGGAGACTGAAGCTGCAGCAACTGCCAAAAGTGTCAGAGTATGACGGGATCTAGGCAGACGACATTGTCATGTGTAGCCTGCACGAATGACAACATAATTAGCACATAGAAGCAGTCAGCAACGGACCCAAAGGAGAAAGCTCAGCAATAACTACCAGAAGCCTAAACTGATAAAGCGCTCGGTTATAAAACGGTGAGAAAGGAACTATAGCCACTAGCTGTTCCAATTTCTGAGAACTAAATGCACATTATAAACTTAATAATAATAATAAGTGCATTCCAGCATTCTACGTTAGTAGTGGCGAAGGTAATAAAGCGGCAACAAACATGCAAAATTTTGCAAATGGGTGGACAAAAACGAAAAGGGGGCACTGTAATCAATCGGGGCAACGACCGCACAGTGTTAAACAGACCCCTCGGGATTCGCATCAACATCGCAGCCTTGTTAAAATGTCCTTTACAACTGAATTAATTTGACGTAAAATTCTTGTCTAAAAGCGATGAATCAGGAAAAGTGCGCAATATCTCAGTGTATTTATTCAAAAGGTGGATACGGTATGACAGTCTCAGTGACCCTGGAAATTGTTTGAGCAAAGAATAGGTTGGACGATTCTTGCAGAAGGGATATATCTACAGGAAGTAACGTAAAAGTGATGTTCAGCAAAGTGGACAACGGCCAACTTAAAGGCCCCACCAAATTTGCGGTTTGGGCGTAATTCACAGTCGCAGCTCCGAGCCTATGTAGATGCACGCGACTATGAAGTAGCTTCGGACCGTAAGCGATTAGTGGTGACCGGATGGCGACAAAGCGTCAGTACAACGTGCCGACGTACCATTTATGGCTCATTGCAAGTTTTTAAAGGTTAACATTCAGGCCACATTCCTACGCAAGACGTGTTGACAGAACGAGGAATTCACATGGAAATACGAGTATTCAGTGGAATTCGAATGCAGATGGTCAGAGGGGAATGGCGCTGAGAGTGTTCACTGCCGGGAACCTGTCTTAGTTGACCACAGGTGAAGGTGAAATGAGCACTGACACTGGCGCATCAAAAATAGTTGCCGAATACACCAGCAACACTCCGATACCAGTTAAACATAATGCGCCTCCATCAAAAAGGAGTGCAGATACTGAAGAATTAAAAACTTCGGGCTGGGACTTCAAGTTTAAATTAAAATTAGGCACGTGGAATGGAGTGCAAAGGTAAACCAACGAGGGATAGATGAGTTAATTGGACCCAGCATTTTCGGGAGTATGGATACATTGTAATCCTGGAAAAGGGGAGCCGTTATGCAGGCATTCTGTGGAGCGCTATTTGTAATCAAAGCATCACTCGAATGGGAAGTGGGGTAAACAGCATCAGTTTGTCCCAGTGTCGAAGCGACAGGACAGTAGGCGAAGTGATATAGACACCGGTGTTAAACCGATTGGAAACACAGAGGAAGCTATGGAGAACTCCACGTAAGGAGAATAGACTGGAAGTACAATACACCAAATCCCGCTAAGATCCTTGAGCGCAGGCTCAGAAAAGAAATTCCACTCCACGTGATAGCATAAAAGCAGAGGTACCAGCTCGTGACCGTGTGGGATGCTCAAGAAATCATGCCCCGTTGTAACTACGGATAGACCGGTAGTGCATAAAGATGTCTCAAAATGTGTGCTACCTAGTCATTGGTACTAACTGCTTGAACAAGATTGTTGGGTCACACGGCACCCAAGATAGGCAATATGCGCGTCAGATGTCAAAGTCCTGTCGTTCAATATGATGGTAGCGCGTGCACTGGAGGGAGAGCACCGACAAGCCCCCCAATAAACATTTAGTCTGCTGGAGTGAAGTGGGCGAAACTCATGCTCACGCCATAATAAAACGGTAGATGGAGACAAGAGAAATGCATCGCATTTGACATTGTTGGCACCCCAGCGTTCACACAGGTGAATGCGAGGAAGCTGCGATTCCAGGTAATGTGTGGCAGATGGTAACGTCTCCTGGTAGAGCTTAAAGTTGGAGCTTAGTGAGCTTGTCAGATGCGCATACGTGATGAGCAGGTCGACAAGAGACTACTGGAAAAGCCTATTTGGATCTTGAGAAGAAAGAATGTAAGGACCGGAGGTGGAAGGGTGGATTCCTTACAAGGATACACACGATGAGACAATACAACTCGACAGTTAGAAGTGTACAAAGCTACCTCACATGGAACAGTGACCCATTAACAAAACCGGTTTCAAATTGTTTATTTTACAAAATCAGCAAAGCGGATGGTAACTCGTTAACTCAGATACACTGCAAGAATAGATAAAGAAGTAGATAACCAAAACCATTACATCGTCATAGAAACAGAGACAAAGAAAAATACAAAAGCGGAAAGCAAGATCACAAATATGACATATAATGTGGCACCGAAGTGGGCGAGTACGCAGATATCGCCGTACACAGTTTGTGTGTGTGTGCGCGAAACAACGCGAAGCCGGCGTAACGCAGTTTGTGAAGAGAAACAGAGAGATCGGAATCATTCAGTCGGAAGAAGACCGTTAGCGATGGCTTCCTTTTGCAACTCTTCCAGAATTCTGAAGTGGAGAAATGAAAGCACAGTATATAGGGCGTCCAGAGTACAGAAAAATAGTAATTTCACCAAAAAGTGAAAATACAACCGATGTTAGGAAATTTGAAGTGTCTGGTCTCGGTGGTCTAGCAAAAACGTGCTCCTCGGCAAATTTGAGTTTTCGGGTTCAATTTCCAAATCCGACTATCAAATCCATTGGAAGAGCCTAACTAAGAGATAAGGCGGTTATCAGAAATAGTGGAGAAAGAGCGATCACTGGTCTATTTTCAACCGCGTCAACTAGCTCGTTAGTCGCAGTAGATAAGCGTGCCTGAACTTACGCGAGCTGATGTCATAACTACAATAAAGGGAGAACCGGAGTGAATGCGTTGTATTGGAACGAAACAAATCTCTACTGTAACTGACAACATTCCTCCATCTGTTCTGAAACATGATGACTCCTTGTTAAGTTAACTTGTAACTATTCAACGTCATACGTGACAATGAAAGGGAGCATTCAGGTTGGAGACTGTCAACTGTTGTGCCCATCTTCAAAAAGAGTCAGGAAGTTTTGTGGGAAAATAGTCGTGGTAGAAGAATTAACTCAAATACTTTCAAACTTCCCAAAGGTACTATTCTACGACGACTCATTATGAGTTGAATCTGAAGCATTGAGTTCCCTGTATTAACTTGAATAGCACAATAAGAAGACGAATGTTGCAAGATGGTACCATTTCGTGCCCTCTGTTCACTTGCAAACAGACAACATTTCAAATGGCTACGTGATGAAAGGCAATCAATACGTTGAAAACGTGAGGTCAAATGAAAGCGAAGTAAACGTCGGCTGCAGGTTGAGGAGGAAATATTAACTCCAAGGGAGTTTGCGCGTAACGAACAGTTGCTTCTGGACGCACAATCTTGGAGAATGCTTTCTATGACCAATGTCTCGGCAAACTTGAGGACTCTGGCGCTTGTGTTACACTAAGCACCGAGTTGGCGTCCACCTGATGACCCGTTTCCATCAGATGTTTCGCAATCGAAGAGGCAGGTATGTTGTTCATCGACACAGGTCCCGTTTGCGGCTGCCTTGTCAAGGTAACGGTACGCTTCGGAATGTGTTCCCCAATCCGCTTACACAAGCACCGGTCTGTTCTGCCGAGGTAACTGCTTTCACAGTTACAAACAAATCGATAGATAACGTACGTTGTGGCGAAGACCGGCTTAGAAGGCTTGACAGGTGCAGTGGTAGATTCTTGGTTGTCCACAGAAGGCAGAATGTAGCGGCACTGAATGTACGCGGTATTGCAACTGTTGTGCGTCGTTCTACCTGCCTAATCAGAACATCCCCTTTGAAGGGTAGTCGCAAGTAAGCAGGCATTTTTGGTACAGTAAGAAAGACCGGCTGTTCACTTTCCGCGGTGCAGGTATGAAACCTAATAAAGGCTTCTGGGTAGCCATTTGCCCGTAAGGTTTGCATGATGAATTGCAAATTCAGCCTCGATGCATTTCATACTGTATAATCTGTGTGCCCGATTGAACAACATTTTGACAAGGCATCGCTTGTATTGACCCGGTGTAAAACTGCTGAAGTATTCATACAAACCGGTCCACGTAGCTTTCCGGTAAACGGTGCTCTGTATCGCGCCATCTTCTCGCCTCGTCAGTCGTATATCCAGAAAAGGCAGGCGATTATCATCCTCAATTTCATAGGTGAATCGGGCATTTGGGCGTGCAGCGTTCATAACTCTGGGAACGGACTGAGCCGGCTCTAAGGATGGTGCGATCACCAATGTGTCGTCCACATACCTTGTAGAGACACATTCGTCCGAGGGCTGACTCACAGCGCGACTCGACCATCGCCATGAAGATGTCCGTCAGCAGAGGACCAAGGGGACTCCCCATAGCCACGCCATCAACCTGTCGATATGCCGACCCCTGGAACATAAACGATACGTTTCCCGTGCAGAGTAGCAACAAATCCTTGAGATCCTTTACAGGAATCCACAGAGGCACTTTCTCACTAAGTCACATGATAAATCCACTGTTTCTCTCAGAGGAATGTTGGTAAACAAAGACTGTACGTCCATGGAACACATCACCTTGTCCGAAATGTTGATTTCAATTAACTCAAAGGTATCTTTCAAGGTGTGCTTTACAATCATCTTTCAAAATGGCGTCAGTAGTTCAACTAGCCAACGTGCTAGCTTGTGGTACGCTGAGTTATGCATGGATAATATTGGTCTGAGCGGGACGTTGTCTTCACGAATCTTGGGTATGCAATACATCTGGGGGATGTCGGTGCCCAACGGCTTAACAGCATTGTATATCACCTGTGTTGTCATCCCAAGAAACAGTAATATTTTCAGATATTGTGTTACGCTCTTCTCAATTTGTGTTTTATAGGTTGCTCTTTCGTCCACATGAAATTTCGACTTGTCCTTCAGAATCTCTTCCCTCTCGTTTTTATAATCCGACTTATCCATGATGACCACTCCAGTACCTTCGTCCGGTTCCAACAACATTAAGCCTTTGGTTCTCAAATCAGGTAGCCTTTTAATGTGATTAGTATCCAGGCAGCAGGACTGACGAATCGGAGCCAACATGAAACCATTTGCGATTTCAACTAACTTAACTGTGAGCCAAGTACAGTTCTCTTGAGATGTTTGTTTTAGCTTAGAGAATTGATCAATTACGTTTTCAAATTTTGCCGCAACCTGAATGCCATTGACTTTCTCAATATCTTGGAAAATTTTTGGAACCGATCGGGAAGTCATCATTTCAGAAAACTTGGTGGACGACCATAAATACATCAACCGGTCGTCTACTAAGTTTTCTGCCATTGACTTTCTTTGGGGGGATTTTGAACTGTACACAACGCACAGTATCTATCGATTTGTTTGTAACTGTGAAAGCAGTTACCTCGGCAGAACAGACCGGTGCTTGTGTAAGCGGATTGGGGAACACATTCCGAAGCGTACCGTTACCTTGACAAGGCAGCCGCAAACGGGACCTGTGTCGACGAACAACATACCTGCCTCTTCGATTGCGAAACATCTGATGGAAACGGGTCATCAGGTGGACGCCAACTCGGTGCTTAGTGTCATATATCGTAGCACAAACGCCAGAGTCCTCAAGTTTGCCGAGACATTGGTCACAAAAAACATTCTCCAAGATTGTGCGTCCAGAAGCAATTGTTCGTTACGCGCAAACACCCATGAAGTTAATATTTCCTCCTCAACATGTAGCCGACGTTTACTTCGCTTTCATTTGACCTCACGTTTTCAACTTATTGATTGCCTTTTGTCACGTTGTCATTTGAAATGTTGTCTGTTTGCAAGTGAACAGAGGGCACGAAATGGTACCATCTTGCAACATTCGTCTTCTTATTGTGCTATTCATGTGAGTTTAATCAATGAGAGCCAGACTGGCCTCCACTCCGGTTCAGGACATACTGATTACTTTACACTTCTAAGTTTGGAACAAAGATACACTTGTGACCGACTATGGTGGTTCTCCTTGGCATGCAAGCAACCGACTCTGCTGATTGTGGTAGCTCGTGGTACTGCCTTCCCAAGACTGTCATACATCGAATTTCCTCTTCAAACTTGTGATAGAACTACTCACAAATGACGATGTCCTCTCACCTTCTCCCTCATTGGAAATGTTACCAGGTGGCCGACTGACAAACCTGGAATATGAGTGACCATTATCTTAGATTCAGACACTCCGTAGCTATGCAAGCGACACTCAACAAGCAGAAGGGTAGCATTGACGCCTCAACCTGTTCTCTGCCCTCTCAAAAGGCAAAGTGGTTGTAGGGCAGGGCCAACACGCTACCGATTTTAGCTATCAGCCACTGGAAGGGGCGAATCGGTTCATTAAATCTGACCGTAGTGTCGCATCATTGAGTGTTACTCAGATAACACCGTGTGACCTTCAGGAAGCTTAACTATCTACGAAGCCGGAGGGAAATCAGCTGGTTAATCAAACAGTGGTTGTACAACGCTGCGATAAAGCAGATGTTACGGTTAAGGATCAGAGGCCAGGTCAGTTCACAGTGAGAACATCAAACGACTGAGCATCAATGATTAAACGTGCTTGCGGAGTATTGATCACATCTGACGGATATATAGAATGCGCAAAAAATAAATAAACAAAACAAAAAGTTGTACATTCTTGGACGATGCGAGCTGTTCCTTAAAAGGAGCACACCAAAAACTATTACACCCTTTACATGCCATTGCATTAATAATATTCAATAGTTGAGTTCAATAGAATATTCAATAAAATTCAAATTAAGTAATACATAGTAAACAAAATAATTCCCCTTGCCCGTCGTTGAATCAGGGATCTTCCCGTTCACATGAAAGATGTTCGGGCAGGGAAAGATATGAAATGAAATAAAAGGGACCATGGTTCAAAAAATTTATATGCATGTATTGTTCGAGATTCGGTCAGATGCCATGGATACCATTCTCGAAGGCGTTCTACAGAAATTGTGATGTTCCGAACATATTAATCGCGTTTTGGACAGTTAACTGCCTACTCATCGGAAGCTTAAAATGACGCAGTGTACACCATGTTCTGATATCACTTGAAATTTTGTTTCAAATCTTTGAGTAGTGGACTAGAAAAAAACGTACCCTGATTCCAGTAGCAAACGTTAGAATCGTAAGCATTATCACTTTGTTGCGGATCGGGTATCTGCTATCCGTCAGTTGGCTTAAGCAACAAACCCTCTGGTACGTTAGTGGAGTGCCTGTTAAACTTGAACCATTTACGTTGGCCATGTCATGTACTCCGTATACCCGTCCACCAGTTTCCCCGGTGCGCATTAAATGTCGTCCCTGCACGAAGTTGGGTGAAACCGCGAGGAGGCCGGTCAATGACGTATCATAATGGCATGAAGAAACTGACCTAAAACTTAGTCAGGCTGGTGCGCGTTATCTTCGTGGATGGGAGACTCAGAATGGGCCAAATCAGACTTTATCGGTCTCAGCGTGCACCGGAAATGGAAACAACTGCTATTATTGGTAACCACCGGAAGTCTTTCCGCCCGATACGGGAAGCAATGACCTGGCATTAGCGAGACCACACGAGACGAGAATGGACAGCCGATGCACAGACTGTCAAAACGCTTGGAGCGTTAAAGTGAACACTTTGTAAGGCAGTTTAACCAAGCTGAGTTATCACTTTCTTTTCCGGGCATTGGATGCCCTCCTCACTAGGCCGTCTCCTTAGATCCGACCTCATGCGTGAAGTCGAAAGTAAGATGAGACTGTTAAAATTGCATAAGTAGACGTCTTCCAGCACTCTTCGAATTCGTGGAACTTGCTCTTGTAGATGATAGGTACAATGTATTAATGAAGCTGTGGGAGCAGGGGACTATCCCAATAGACTGGAGCCACTACGTCATAGTCCCCATTTTCAATGGAGGCTCCCGTTCAGAATGCGGCAAGCATGGAGAGATCAGTTTAATTGTAACTGTTTCTAAATTGATTTTTGGGTTTTTGTAGCACCCACCAAGTGTCTGGGATTGCGATACGCAATCTCAATTGTGGTCTCGGTTAATTATGAAGTTAGCCTCTGCCAATACAATCACCGGGACCGACCCCGAAGTGGAGGGTTTCGGTGTGACATCCCCATCCCTGCATCCGTCGTTCTCCACAGACTGACTGCTACTCCTGAAAGTCAGATTCGCGAGCAACAAGCCGGGTTTCGTCCAAATCGAGGCTGCATTGACCACACGTATATTTCACTTTAGTTGTTGCAGCATCGCTATATTTATTGGCGATTCATCGCAGTCATGTTTCTTGACATCAAAGGCGCCTTCGATTCGGTTGATCGATGCGCCCTATGGGACTGTCTGCTAAGGGAAGGTGTGCCTGATAAATACGTAAATATTATCGGAGCGCTGTAAGCGTATAGTTCGGGCGGAGTGCGGGTTTATGGCAAACTGTCGCCGCCCAGCAATATCTTCAGCGGTGTAAGACAAGGTTGCGCGCTGTCACTTTTCCTCTTCAGCTTCGCCATTAACGAGGTAATGGAAATAGTATTCGTAGGAGTTGACCTATAAGGTGTGGAGTTGCTTCCTGGTGAGCCAATTCCTGACGACAGCCCTAGTCTACGACAGCGCCCAAACGTACCAAACAGCACTGGCTGTCGATCGTTTTGGGCTCCCCTTTGCTCCCTAGAAATCAACTTCTCCAAGAGTGGCAGGGAGGCACTCCTGCCCTGACCCTTGGTGGTGATCAGCTAGAAGTCGTCTAGGAATTCACGTACGTGGGCCCTTGGGATCAAAGATGAGATCACGAACGATATAGAAAAAACTGGAGATGCTTTTGCCAATCGCCGCCACCTGCGGCGCCGATGCGACAGAACTGTCTCCCTGAAAAACAGAGTTTATAATGCAGCCGTCCGTTCTACCCTCTAATACAGTTGTGAAACCTGGCTCCTCAGGTCGACAGACATAGTAAGGCTAGCTGCGTTCGACCATCGCTGTCTCCGCAGCTTAACTCATGTCTGGTGGGAGCACCGCGTGAGCAACGAGCATGTTCGGCGTCGGGTATTTGGTGCAGGAAGAGCTAGTGAAATGCTCAGCACCATCATATCACGCACCAGATTCCATTAGCTTGACCACGTGTTGTGCAGGTCAGGCCACCGACTCTCTCGACGTGCGTTCGCTTGGTCACCCGGTGTCTGGACGGAAGAGAAGGAGCGGAGGCAAACCAATGATCAATCGAGGGAAGTCTCACTTTGAAGGTGGCGAAGGTTGGTGCATCCCGATTGCCTGACTGCAATCCTAAGGACGATGAATACGTTTGGTTGGACACACTTGCTTGTTATGGCGAAGAGCCGGCCCCAATGACATTTGTGTTATGAGTTTCACTGTCTATCCCGCTATCCTTTAGATTCTTCCTCTAATCCTCGTTTCATAATAAATGGATTGTTGGATAGTTAACATTGTACTACTTGCTTTTCGAATTTTTTCAATGTAAGTTTCCGTATCGTATCTTTTTCGTATTGCGGCACATTTGCTGAAGTGTGTTTCTCACCCTCAACTAACGTGTATTGATGATGATAAAAAGTCTCGGATATGGCAAAGTCAGTGGCGCTCTTGCATTTTGTTTTTGAAAGTCATTGTCAATATTCCCTGTGATCAATTTTACCCACATTTAAGATACTCTTTTTGTTTTTAATCTCTTTGAGTTCTACTTCACGCGGGTCGTGGTAACATAGATAACAGCTTGAGTGTCTGAATCACAGTTGTTTAACTGAGCCAAATCGAAGAATGATTTGAAAGTACTGTCAACACTTAGAGTAAAGGCGATGAGAGATAGGAAGGAAAAACAGCGAAATGAGATAAAGAACTGGTTTGGTTCGCGTTTTCCTACCGTTAACCTCATAACAAAAAGTCTAACTCACGAGATAGTGGGGAGTAGACCTAGTTTGAGAACGGGTTTTCGCGGGGTTTTGGTTAGGCGGATAATTCCATACAGTCTGGATGGGACGGGATCACTTTCGACCGTGTCGAGTTGTACAACAGCGACCACGGTCAACACATGTAAGTTTCGGTGGTCCATCAGCAAGGGTCTTCTTAGTTTAGAGAGGCAGCACCAAACAGATGGCACTCATGTTATACACCAGTGAACTCCCTCATGAAAGGGAGGGGACGAAGCAACTGAACTCTCCCCGAATTCAGAAGACATGAAAACCCTGACTGTCCGATCACTACCCATTAAACTAGTTGGTTGGAATGATTTTAAAGGGACTTGGATAGCGATACACAGTGAAACCTAATAAAACATGAAGGTACGAAAACCATCGTACAGTGTTATATTGCAGTTTCATCGAACTGGTAAGAAGAAAGCATAGATTTTGGAACAAGCGAATGAGAAGGACTGTAGGTAGAGGAGAAGAACAGATGGCTGGCATCATTCCTCAGGCGTGTTCGAGAACGTTTCGAATAAAGAGGCACGAAGACACAATCGCAGTCATCAATGCAATCGGCGTTTTAAATCCTAAAGCATGTTTCGCTCTCGAATAACTCGTCAGTTAGAAGTGGAACATGCAAACACAAAACGCCTGAACCGACAAGTATCAATAGAGTAAAAAGGAGTCAACAGAGTAAAAACAATGCTCCCAATGAGTCCACTGCATTCTGAGGCTCAAGCTCGATTCTCCGAAGCGTTCTCGTTATTTGATATTGTTGAGCTTGAAGGTACACGAAAAGTGTCACTCGGCATGACACGATGAATGACGCTGACATGCCGATGAGCGCATGTGGTCGAAGTGCAGGAGATATATGCGACTGCATCGGCGTGACAGTAGAATGATCCCATAGAGGGAGGGAAAACTTTGCCAGAGTACAAGGCTCATGCAAATAAATATGCTGCAAGTATAGTGAATAAAGTGTCGTTGTCTGACATGTTGAAAATGATGGCAGTAGGCACGGATGTAGCAAGTCTCATGATTGATTGCGCAACTGGATCACAAGGCGCAACATTAGGAATATCGCTGAATTTGGAAGGGTTGGACAGAAACGCGCTGTACTGACGATTAGTGAAAACTGATTGATGAGCGTACACTAACCTCCTTAGCCGACGGGTGCGCTTCTGTTCGGCGTCAAACCGGTCTTTGATGGTCCGAGCCAAATGACGTGGTTTGTTCCACAATGCCTCCGGATCGGTGATCAACTGCTTTTGGTAAACTTCGCGCCATACATTCTGCAACCCAGTTGAAAAGCAACAAAATCAGGAAGCATGAGTTTAGTACAGCTAAGACAAATAACCACTAAATAACAATTCTGGATGCGCGCATGTGCCGGGGAGAATAGCTCAGATGGAGACACAGTCGATGTGGGTGTGTTGGGCGCAGATGCATAAGCTGTTACGGTAACGAATCATTCTATCTGACAGCGTGTTGTGGAAGGAGTCGCAATCAGAACAATTAAAAATGAAGTCGTAAAGCTTCCATACCGTGTTAGCCCGGCAAACAAGGTACCAGAAGTACGCAGTACCGAGGCTTCGCTGCCGCGAAACCACTAAATGTCATACGTAGGCTAAGTATGCTGCGAGGGTAGTCTGGTTCCCCACGCAACCTCGAACGATCGCCCTCGGATCACAAGGCAGGCTTGTGATCCTTTAGGCGACGATCCGGTAAACAAGAGGAGATATCATCAGCTAGTGATGGAATATACCAGCACCTCTCGAAAGATCTCGGACTAACTCCGCGCACAATATGGAAAGGGTGTCTGTAGAAAAAAAACCCAAAACAAAGAAAAAACAAGATCCAAAAGGGAGAGAGGGGAAGAGTGAGAACCAAAAGACATAAAGTAAGTAGAAAACTGCTTATGTTCGCAGTGCAATACAAAAGTCGACCAAAGAAGTAAGCCTGTGCGAATCATCTCAAATGGGAAATATTGAAGACTAAGTGATTGCGAATAAAGCATTAGGTGCTACTCCATAGTTTAAAAGTATGGATAAAAGAGTAAAGCAGACAGATGTATACATTTCGCATTGTCGTCACACATATTATATATATATATATATATATATATATATATATATATATATATGGTTGGCGGCATCCGGTTTCGGATTTGCCTGTCACTGTGGCAAGCCACAGGACGCCTGCGCCTACAGAGGGACCATGGATGGCTTGCGCTGCACCAACCACAGCTCCAACCACACACCCCATTTCCAGTGTAAACCCGAAGGAATAACACCGGGAGGCATGTGGATGGGAACCACGTTTCATCAACGGAGCCGGCCCACACTCCTTCACAGGCAAACACAAGTACACTGTATTTGGGGAATCAAGCGCACACAAGGCGGTGGCTGGACCGTAGTCCGCTCCACACTGAGTGCATGGAACCACTCTTCGAGCCTAACACGGCCACAAGGACCGTGCACCCTGCCCCCTCCAGCAACGACCAACTGTCTCCTGGAGCCAGTATGGACGACGTAGTGGGTAATAGACAGGTAGGCACCTTGTCAACATGCACATCAAGCGCAGCCACACCGGGGATATCAAACAACAGCCAATCCCTTGAGAGAGAGAAAGAAAAAGAGAAAAACTCGATTAATGCATAAGGAAACGGTGACATCAACCTTAATTAAATAGCATACGTAATAAGTTGTTTACAAACACATCCTAGCTAAGTGCACGAGGTCAGGAAGTATAGTTCGCGGTATGCCACGAACACAAAAATGTTATGGAAATCGAATACAATTGGCTGAAGCGATGTGTGCAAGTTAATGGAATAGAGTACTGGTAGACATTTATATGAGAAAGAAAAGCAGTAAAGTAAAAACTGTAAACCCACCACCTGAAATAAAGAGACTTAGCATGCAAGCACGCGGTTAGTAAATCGAATTCAGCGTGCCTACAAACGCTGTGCCGGCTCGCCGTAATTCTCTGCAGGACCCGTCGTCGCTTCTGTAGTGGCCCCAAAGGACCAAGCTCATGGCCCACTAGACATTAATATGAGAAAGAAAGGCATTAGGAGAGAATCGAAAACCCACCACCTGAAATAAAGAGACTTAGCATGCAAGCATGCGGTTAGTAAATCGAATTCAGCGTGCCTACAAACGCTGCGCCGGTGCTGCCTACGTTCACTGCGGGACCCGTCGGCGCGTCGGCAGTGGTCCCGAGTGACCTCTCTCATGGCTCACTAGGCCTGCCTGACTAAGGCACTCGCGACCGCATGTTCTACAGCACCATGCGCTCGATGTCGATGGAGTACAATTCATCGGTGCTTGCCGCGTCCGCAACTGCCGCTTCTTCTCTGTATGCATGAGATCATTCTCCCGCACTTCAGCAACTGCCTTCGTGATGAGATCGCGCCATGCACGCCGATCAACCGCCTTCGATTCCCATGACCTGCAATCAAGATTAGAACGTGTGAGGCTCACTTTAATCATATCCTGGTCACGTAACTTTGGTTTCCCCACGTGCCGCTTCCCAATACTCAGCTGACCGTATAAAAGTTGTTTCGGTATCCGCGTCGAATCCATACGGCTCACATGACCGAGCCATCTCAGGTGTCTCAATAAAAGCATGCAATCCACTGCATGCCTCCCACTTCGGCGCAACACTTCCGTGTCTGCGACTCTGGCGCCCCAGCCGATCCGCAGAATTCGTCGCAGACACTGCTGATGGAACCGCTCGAGATATCGCACATCCCGCCGGTACATCGTCCACGTTTCACTGCCGTATAGAAGAACGGACAGTACCATGGATTTGTACACCATCAGCTTCGTGCCAATGCTAAGCTGATGGTTGTTCCACACTCGGTACTCAAGCTTCCCGAATGTCGCTGCCGCCTTCGACACGCGATTACGCAACTCAACGTGTAGCTGCTGATCAGTCGACATCACACTCCCAAGGTAGCTGAAGCGGGAGGTGGTTTCCAATACTTCAGCACCAATGCTGATTTGCGGCAATATTGAAGATTGCACCTCCGGTGAAGGCTGAAAGAGACAGACAGTTTTGCTTGTGTTGATGGTGAGCCCGAATTTGGCCGCTGTCGAAGCCAGAGCACTAGTCATGTGCTGTAACTCATCCGCGTTGTGTGAAAACAACGCACAGTCGTCAGCAAACAGCAACATACGGATAGTTTTCTCACAGACTAGAGTTGTCGCACCGAAACGACGGATGTTCAGCAACCCACCATCAGTAAGGTGCTCCACACGAACACCGTAAGTACAAGCCGCATCAAAAGCACAAGATAACATTGCATGAAGATAGATATTAAACAGGGCAGGAGCTAAGACACAGCCTTGCTTCACACCAGAGACAACTGTAAAGTCCTCCGAGGTCTCTCCACTCAGCTGCACCCTCGCTCGCATACCACTGTGCAGACATTCAATTAAACTTACAAACTTACGCGGGCAACCAAACTTACCCAACACCAGCCACAGTGCCTCGCGGTTCATCGTATCAAATGCCTTAGTGAAATCAACAAAAAGCGAGTACAAAGGCTGGTGTCGTTCTCTGCACTTCTCCTGCAACTGACGAGCCGCAAACACCATATCTATAGTGCTGCGACCCGAACGGAATCCACATTGCTCTTCCGCCACGTTAGGTTCCACAATCTGACTCACGAGGCGATTGAGCAGGATTCGGGCAATCACCTTGCCCACACAACTCAGCAAGTTGATGCCACGATAATACGTGCAACATTGCTTGCTCCCTTTGCCCTTGTACAGTGGTAGCACAAGGGCATCCTTCAGCTCAGAAGGCACTTCCTCCTCAATCCACACGCGTTGCACCAAGTGGTGCAGCGCAGTCAACAACGCGGGTCCATCGTGTTTCAATACTTCAGGTGGGATCCCGTCACCTCCGGCACATTTGCCGTTTCGCAGCTGAGCAAGTGCCCTCTGCGTCTCATCCACTCTCGGCATATCCGCCAGATCCGCCTTCACATCCTGCTGCTTCAGGCCGTTCAATGTAGGCCAGTCGATCTCTGAACGGTTGTTCAAGAGACAGTCAAAGTGTTTCCGCCAGACCTGCATTATGTCTGCAGTCTGGGTGCAGGTAGCGCCTGAACTACCATCGATCAGTGTCCTCAGCGGCTCCAATCTCGGTCCATACACCGCATTCAAGGAGTCAAAGAATTCCTTGTGTTGACGGCGAAGCATTCCATCTGCTTCGCCTTCTCCGTCCACCATGCATTTTTTATGCGACGGAGCTCTAGGGTCAGTCGCTGTCGAAGTTTGCGAAACTGACTACTCTTCCCCAAGTCACTGGGGTCTGCAACATGTGCAGCAAATGCTGCATTCTTCTCTGACACCAATGCGTCAATCGTCACATAGTTGTCATCAAACCAACCAGGCCGCTTACAGTTTGCGCGCCCGATGGTCTCCTCCGCAGCAGCTGTCACCTGGTCGCGAATGTGGTGCCACAGGTCGCCCACTGTGGCTATACAGTCCACATCACCACACAGGCGTGCAGCCATCGCCTTCTCCAGCTCAGTACGTTTCGCCACAGTACCGAGGGAGAGAATGTTAAATTTACCCCGATTCACGGCGGGAGTGCAATACATCGATTTACGAAAATATATGTACAGTTTGGTCCGAACCAACTTGTGATCAGTGCCACACTCAGCTCCACGCAGTACACGTGTCATGCGCACTTCACGCATATCACGCTGACGTACGATGACATAGTCGAGCAGGTGAGCGTGACCACTCCGTGGGTGCGTCCAAGTTGCTATATCACTCGCACTCAGTGCAAAGCGAGTGTTCGTGATCGTCAGGCCGTGAGTGGCACACAGTGAGAGCAGCCTGTCCCCGTTCGCATTTGCTGAACCAATCCCATGCGAACCGATAACATCTGTCCACGCTGATGCATCACGCCCAACGCGCGCGTTGAAATCACCCAGCAGAAATAGTCGGTCGCTCCTCGGCACAGACCGTATCACGGAGGATAGCTCAGTGTAGAACTGATCCCGCGTGTCATCAGGATAACACATGGTCGGACCGTACGTGCTTATGAAAGTAGCAAACTTCCCTCTTCCGAGTCGTAGGCGAACAGTCATCAGTCGCGCGCTGATGCCCGTTGGTTCACCCACCAGCTGGCCATTCAGGCGGTCGGATATTGCAAATCCGACCCCATGTTCACGTGGTGCTAAGGCGGCGTTGCCCACCCAGTAGAATGTGTAGCCAGCACCTGCTTCATGTAACTTACCTTGCTCAGCGAGCCGAGTTTCACTGAGCGCCGC